CCACTGGGGGTGGGGCTTCCTCAAAAATAGTCAATTTGGACCTGATCTGAACTTTTGAAGAATGGTAAGTACATTGGTCGGGACCGATTATAAATTTGGTTCACTTCTTGCTTACGACCGCTACCCAGCGAAGCATGCGATTCGATGAAGGATCGAGGGTTCTCTCTGCTTTGATATCATTCATGGTAAAACTTATCCGACCGCTAGCAGTATTTGATTCTTACTTAATGATGTATCAGTAGATAAAAGGAGCTACATTCATAAAGATATTTGATAATGGTATTATTATGACTCGACAACATTTGCGAGTACCATTCATTGGTTTGGATGCCTACCAATTAAGTTTTCAATGGGTCATTATTTTCAACACCAACAGCGACAGATCGAGATAGACATTTTAACAGCATCAGCTACAGATCGAGACAGACAGATTCTAATCAAAGGCATAGGCATAGGTACATTTTGAATATCGTTTGCATGCCCTATTGTTCCTCTATCGAACTAAATGTTCCGAAAAGTATCATTTGTTCCAAAGAAGGAGTGTGCTGTTTGTCGTTTATCGCGACTCTATCATGAGAAGGAGGGAAGCCCGGCGTTAGCCGGGCGGTCCCGCTGTCTTTGTATATAAAGCGGTAACTTTGTGTGCCTGTTTGTGGGTCGGTTTGTGCGTCTTTCCGAAAGACACTTAGGCACCATGAAGAGTGTGAAAGTGACGTGAGCGCGGCGAAGAAGCAGTTATGAAATGGAAAGCCAACTAATACTGTTCATATTGGTCCACTAACAAGTCGTAGGTAAGCGGTAGTGGGCATGTGGTGCACGCACTAGCATGCGTAACCCAACTGGTGTATTGCAAGTCTGCGAAACGAATCTAGGAACAAAGTTGCGAGACCGATGCCTCCCCTGTGTTATGCCACCGTACCGAACGGATCACCGAGCCGAGCAAAGCAGAGTTGTGCAACGGTGGCGCAGCAGGTACGGCAGTGAACTGGTAGGCATGACATCAAGGTTCGGTTCCTTGATGCATGCGCTCGTTTTGCTTTCTCATGAAATGCATCCTAAACGTTTGCAAAACGTCTTTGGCCTCAATGTTGAACATCTGCAGGGCTCCCTCACCATTTAGGACTCCGGGGAATTACAATCTAATGGAAACTTCTTACCACTTCTGACCGAATATATACTCTTTCTTACCCCGAACGGTCGAGATGTTGTTTCGAAATCTTCGGCGGCTCCCTGTACTTACGGTAAACCGCGATCGAATGACTCATCCGGCCAGAGCCCTCTTTTGGAGGTATACGGTCCACACTTTCCATGAATACTGTCCGCGCCTTCGAAGCGGCGATACAAGTTATTGACATTGTTGAGCGGTGGGACATGATACCACGACTGTCCTCAAAACCCTGAATCCTATGAATTGTTTGAATTTTTCCCCTATGGGCCTTCATTGTTCATCTGAAGCGGGTCCAGTGGAAATGACTGCCGTGCAATGGGACTCCTGTATTAACTTTATGATAACTTATCCGCTAATCCTGATAAGTAGGTATATGGACCCTCTTGTTTTGCACCTGATAGTTGCGACCACATAAGACATCGTAAGTTGTCAATAATAGACTACTCATGCCCTCTTAACTTCCGTGGACGACACTCTGTCGTGATGATACAAAACATTTTCCTTATGTTCGTCGAAGTGCGGCTTTTTTCGAAGGCAATGGACTCCTCTACCAGCGCCATAAAATTGGAGCTCATGGGCCAGATCACAAACTTGGAGGCTACGTTCACTCCAGAACCTCTATATACCCACAAACGTAGGAGGTTTCATTCGCGTAGTACAACGTCGCTGCCCTCATCGGGCGACCGCAGAGGTTCAGTGTTATTGCCTTTCGCGAACTCGACTTCGCAAAAGATAACGGGCTTGTTTCGTAGCATCGATAAGTACGGTTTAAAGCCTGTTCATTACCGCCTCTTCCTAGATAGTGTCTACGTCATGCTTCAAGAACGAAATTCCTTCATCAATTATGATGACACCACATTCGTTGCGAAGATTCGCTGGTAACGTGTTAAAGATCGTTTGATTCGATGAATCATTCGGAGACTTTCTTCTTGAAGCCTCTTAAGCCCATGTCAAGCAAATTAAGCACATTTAAGCAGCGAACGGAGCTCCACCCTTATTCGGCCGGTGAGGGGCAAAAAAAACTTTCCTTGCCATACCTTTCCAGTGTTCCTGAATGGTGGAGGAGCCGTGTAGATTTACAACATTGGGACTAAAACCGTTTTGCAAGCGTTTAGAACGCATTTTGTGAAAAAGCAAAACAAGCGCATGCAGCAAGAAATCGAACCTTGATGTCATGCCTACCAGTCCACCGTCATACCAGCTGCGCCGCCGTTGCACAACCTATACTTTGCTCGGCATGGTGATCCGTTCGGTACAGTAGTTAACACGGGGAGGACATCGGTCTCGCAGCTTAGTTCCTATGATCGTTTCGCAAATCTAGAGCCCATATTTGAGATCAGCGTTCGAAACCACCTACGGGCGCATACTTCGCGAATGGCCACTGCGACCAAGTATCTTCCCTTGTTAGCCTCGAGTCGACTGTTCACCCATACTGCTCCATGGTAAGCGCATCAATCCTTTCCACTTCTAAAGTTTTTCGTGTCCCTTTTCTGATTCAAGTTGGTAGCGACGGTACTGTTTTTTCACGCTTCTTCATTTGGTGTTGGTTACCGTGTAGTCGTCGCTGTGTCGACCAGTAAATTCAAAGTTGCTAATGTGAACAATTTCATGTGCCTTTATTTGGTACGTCGATCAAAACAGTCGAGCCATCAGAGGACGCTCCTATTGACAAAGAGGATGTATTGCGAGCGTTAGGCCATAGCTTCGATGCTCAATTCATGGAGCTGAGGATGGCTATGCTTACTATCGCCACTGAACGCGAAAGGAACCTTCTTGCAAAGGCGAGTTCTCGTTCTTCTAGCACAAAATACTACCCTGATTCTATATTCTTTTAGTTTCAAACCATATTTTTCCTATCTTCCGAAAGCCCGTTTGAAAAGAAATTACATTCCCGAAAATGGTCGCTTTTACGAAAATGATTTTCTTCTAATACCTTTTTGATTTTCGCATATTTATTCTCTTCCTTCAGACTCTTCTTATATTTCAGGTTTTCTAAATTTGCTTTCATAAAGAGAAATCATATATGGGAAATCGTCGGTTTAACTTTTGCCAAATTTCTGTTTCAGAAAAAAGTCATTAGCAAGACTTTGGTGATCCAGATCAAGTTGCAAACTCGCTTCATCCTTGCCATCCGTCAATGATGATCTCTACGTTTTCAGTTCCAGTCATTAAGTCGTTGGTCGCGCACATATCGGCGGTGTCCCAAATGTGGTGCTCCATTACGCATGCGTATCAGCAAATCTGCCGCGGGTTGTCCGAGTTGTTCGCGATTCTACTATCCAACGGTGAGACCATAATTCAAAAGTGACTTCGTAAGAAAGAAAACTCCTAAGTTAGATTTCTGGAATACATTCCTTTTGCAGTACTCACCTGTTGCCATCACATTAGTCTCAGATCCAACGAATTCCTTCGCACTTCTCGTTAGACATAAAGGATCACGTAGCGGTGTTTATACTGCGATTGCAGGATTCGCTCAAGTGAACTTTTGAATTAAAAGAGGGTGAAGGTTTCGGCCTAGTTGATGGCACTGTTCCAGTCTGGAGAGTCTCTTGAAGAATGTGTCCGACGAGAAATAGCTGAAGAAGTAGGCATACCCGTCCTGAGTGCCGCTTCTCTAAATCGAACTCAGCCCTGGCCGATGCCTGATTCGTCGTTGATGTGTGCTTATTATGCTGTAGCCGACATGTCGCACAAGGTACTGTTACTCTTCAATCGACACGCAGACAGGCGTTATTTTCAAAAACATTTAAGGTCGATGCCTGTCCCGGAGAGCTCGAATCGGCAAGATGGTTTTCGAGAGACGAAGTTGCTGTCGCTCTTCAAAGAACTCTCAATCATCCTTTCTTGAAGGTACTTTTTTGTTAGACGGGAAAAATTTGAAACTTCTAACCTTAAGCTATAGCATAATGCGAATTAGTTGGTAAAGTTAAAAATTGTATGAACAGATGAGGAAGGAAGGGATCATGGAGTTGGGTCACTTGGCATGCATAGATCACACCCTCTGGGAAGCGTTACTCTTTAGACCTCTCATACCTCCGCAAGCGTAATAGCATGTGAGTGTGCATATGGTCTATGATACGACTGATCTGAATGCTGAGGTACGCTGTCACTTCCCTAGAAAGATCAAATTTGATTAAGATCAGATTCACTTTCACTTATCAATTCAAGGGATACAGAATGAGGATGGCATTGCCTAACTTTGTAAGGTTTTAGGACCCCATCTCCCATCCGGTTGTGAGGCATTTGAGCCATTTCTAGCTTTGCCTCTTTTATTTCACCATAGTCAGCGAGGTCAGAAGTGACTCAGATATTATGTAAAGGCAAAGTCAAACAGTAGTTCTCCAGCTTGTTTTTCATGGCTCTGTTTTGGAAGAAAACCGCCAGTAAAGAATTGTTCCCATCGGTTAGCTTCGAAAAATGTTTTTATTCAGTTCGTAAAATTTACAACAAAAATATAACGCGGTAAGTATGTCTGTTGGTTTGTCTGTGTGTACATATGTGTGTGTTTGACTGTAAATCCATAAATCCGAAATCCATGGACCTAGAGAGTTCAAATTCAGTATAAATACAGGGAGTAGGATGGGAACATTTTTGGTGGGTGGCAGGACCAGACTCCGCCCACAGGGGGCGGTGTTCGCGCGAAATGAATGTTTGAGCGGGAGTTCATAGCTCCGGTTCCCGTGGACCTAGGGCGCTAAAATTCGGTAGGAGTACAGGAGACAAAATGGGAACACTGATGTTAGGTGACAGAATTAGATTCCGCGCACAAGGGGCGTAGCGTGGGCAAAAATATTGAGTTCGGACCAGTTCGACTTCAATGAATCATTTTTCTCGAGATGAACAGCAGCAGATCGAGATTTCTGATTATAGACATAACCATACAAATTTTGGATACCACTTACCCGCCGTGCAAGTCCTTTGTCAATTTTCGTGTTCCAATAAGAATCATTTGTTCCCAAAAAGGAACCATTCGTTTCCAAGAAGGAGCGAGCGTTTGCCGATTATCACAACGCTATCATAAGAATAAGGGAAGCCCTGCGTTAGCCGGGCGACCCGACTAGTTTTCAAAAATTCGCTAATCCGCTACCATTTCTAGCTGGTCGCACGACATTTGCTTCTCATTTTACCATTGAACGACTTCTATCGAATAAACCATTCGTCGTGAAACATCTCTCAAAGAAAAAGCCATTCTGGTGTTTTTTCGTTAAGTTGCAGTCTTGAAAGAGATCATTGAAACTAAACTGACCCACGGTGTGATATTCAAATCGAAAACCACAAAGCGCGTCTCCATCCGAATGCGTCATTCGCATGTATTCAGTAGAGACTACCAATGAATTTCCTGCTCCTAAAATGGAGTCACAGTCGGTTTTCCAAACGCAATTAAGTACGGCAACCAGGTCAGATCAGTAAGATAGTGGCCCAACATGGCCGCAAAGTTCCTCCATCGACCGGACAGGCACTGATGCCATTCCTTTATGAAAGAGGGGCAATCCATTCATCTATTAGGTTGGAAGATAAGTCCTGCGACACTTTGGACAAGCTTTGAATTTTATATTTCTTTATTAAACAAAACTTCAATCTACAATATAATCACCATCATTATCTATAACTTGTGCCCATCTTTCGGGTAGCTTCTCGATCCTTCTCTTCCAGAATTCCAGCGGCTGCGACGAGAAAAAAGTGGTCGGTTTCATTTTTGAGTTGACGACGTTCATCAAATTCTTTGCCGCTTAGATGGTTCTTCAGTACTCTGAATAGGTGATAATCAGAGGGCGCTAGGTCTGGTGAGTAGGCCGGATGCGGCAGTACTTCCCATCCTAGTTCCATAATTTTTTGACGCGCTTTGGTGGCTACATGCGGGCGCGCGTCATCGTGAAGTAGAAAGACATTGAGTCTTCTCGGGCGTAGCTCTCGCATTACGTCGGCCACTTTTTGCAGCTAGTTAGCGTAGACTGTGGTCGTAGATCATTCCACTACAGTCCCACCAGCAGCACAATAAAACCTTCTTCTCATGGAGGTCTGCTTTAGGCTCCGTAGGTGGCTTCTCGTCTCGCGCAGTCCAGTGACGCTTACGCGTATGGTTCACGTAAAGCACCCAGCTTTCATCTCCGGTCACTATGTCTTGCAATAAGTCCTTTCGATGGGGACGAAGCAGAAGAGACTCAGCCACGTGCATCCTGTTCGTCTTGTCAGACAGGCGTAGTTCATGAGGAACCCATCGTGAGACCCGTATTGACCTGTAACCAAGCTCGTGGAGATGCTCAATAACTGTCGTATGAGTTCATCCTATTGTTGTCGCCAACTCACGGCTGGTCGCATTAGACTGCATCTCAAGGGCGCTGAGTAAACGCTCATCATTCCACTCCGATGGGCGACCACTACGTTGTCTGCCCTCGAACAAAATTTCTCCGGCAGCAAAGCGCTTATACCATCGCGACACCGTCGAATGGTGAACAACGTCCTTCTTGAAGACAGCGCAGATGTTAGCTGCAGCGGTTCTCGCAGAGTGTCCCTGCAGGAATTCGTAGTAGACAATTGGACGGATGATAGCTTGATCCTTTATGGAGTGTAATGGCTCAAGATTGTTCGCGAAGCCCTTTTATGCCCATTTTCGAAATCTTCATAAAGGGCTTTGGTATTTTTCTGGAGGAACATGTTCAAAGTGTCGCAGGACTTATCTTCCAACCTAATATTACCTTATTGAGCTCCTAAGAGCTGTTGAATTTTTCTCTTTAAGACAGGCCTATTGGCTTCTGAAAGTATGGTAGCCATATGGGTTGAGGTCAGGTAGGTGAATATGTGAGGAAATGGGCAGCCAGGTTATACAAAGTCTTTCCAGCTACTTCATCTGCGTCCCAACTACTTCGTCTGCGTGAGGTGGTCGAGCATTATCCATCACAGTCTTGTAACTGGCGCGAAATCGAAACACCATCCCTTAGTAAAGCATCCTGTTCAGCAGGAGGAGAATTAGCTAATGTCCTGCTGACGTGAGCGTCTCGCTTTGTTGGTGAGCACTGCAAATTCTAGCTTCTCTGTTCGTAGAACCTCGGCATTTGTAAACCATTTATGATTGTACCAGTTGGCCTGTGCACGATACCTTGCGCGTCTCATGGCTTGCGATAAATCAATTTCCTCAAAGATAACCCGGAGCGTAGTGGTCCTAGCAACACAGTAACCACCCTCTTCCAAAAAATGGACAGTACCGTTCTCCCACCCAAAATAATAGCGTCTTAAAAGTACAGTTCACGATAATTTTTGGGTATCCGGTTTTTGACAGAAAATGATAGGTGAGGCCACAATAGTACAATGGTAGAGCAGAAATCACGAAAAACGATGAATAAAAAGAAATACAAAGCTTCAAAAAAGAAGAGAAAAGGGGGGTTGGACGTGTTACACGGTGAAAAAACGGCGGGTAAGGGAATTTTGGGCGAGTCAGGCGAACACGGCGCAGTGTCTGCAATTGCACACAACACACCTAAACAGCTGATTTTGGCTTATTCATTAATATTATTTATTCTACTGCTGATGTTAAGCCGAGTTTTTGAGCAAAATCAATTTTCGGCCTTCCGTCGACGGTGGAGAATAATTAATCAGGATAGAGTAGAATATTGATCGAATAGTAGGAATATAGCCGAATACTATTACCAGTAGGAGACGGTCGATTAGCTTATTGGTTTTTCACTAATGTTGCTCCAATGCGAAAGTGGTGAACAGCAATTAGATTTCGTAGTCAGCCTAGCGATGGGCGGAGGCTGACCGTGCTTCACTCTCCAGCCCCTTATTGTGCCCTATCCAGAACGTTTTTCGACTTCATTCCGGTACATATGGTATCAGAGAGGGCCCCGAATTCATAACATGTGCAAATCTCCAAAGCCATTTTTATCGTGAACTGTGCCTTTAGCCGTTTATCGAGAGCGCATATTTCTAGCAAACTGCATTTGGCAACCATTAACATTCATTTATCCATATACAAACTGAGACAATCCAAGAAATCATGGAAGGACCTTGAAATCATTGATTTCTTGTTTATCCCTAACCATTGTGGAATGTCTGTATTTCACTGGAGATCAGTAGGAAATTTATTTACACTCTGACATTTATCCGCACCCGTCGCAGTAGGCATTCGTTAGCCAACGCATCGGCGATCTCGTTGGGCAATATATCGTTTGATGAAATTTATGTCGTGACGAGCAGGTCCTATTTGCTGTTTCCACGCAAACCCCGCCCCAGTGGGCGGAGTCTACACCTGTCAACTACCATTAGTTTTCCCATCTTGCCGCCTACATCCCTACCAAATTTGAACATCTGAGGGCCAAATTGACTATTTTTGAGGGAGCCCCGCCCCGAGTGGGCGGAGTCTACACCTGTCACCTACAATCAGTTTTCCCATCTTGCCGCCTGCATCTCTGCCAAATTTGGATGCTCTAGGCTCAGGAGCAAAGGAGTTACAAATTCCCGGTCCTCTGCACTATTCGCGCAAGCCCCGCCCCTAGTGGGTGGAGCCTAGCTTGGGTCACGTGTACCCAAGGAGTCCGGCTCATTCCCCTCTTTTTCCAACCTGTCTGAGCTGTTTCAGTTGTTTCAAAACGGCATCATGTAAGATAGTGTTACAGACAAACATGACAAACAAACGGTCATTTGCGGTTTATATATAGTAAGGATTGCAGTTCATCTGCCGACGAGGTTGTTAAGTGAAAACCTTGCAGGTGGCTTGACGTTTCGGTGCCATCATCTTTTTCAAAAGCCTAATCCACCACCGTAAGAGCGAAACAGCGCAACTCTGAGACAGTTATGATTAGGCACTGGTGGTGGTTTCAACCTAACAACCTCGTCGGCATAAGACACACATTACATTCATAATGAGT